CATGGAATACTGCGCTGTAGTTAGAAGCAACAGAATGGATGCGTATTTGTTTTATGCATAAATTTTTGAAAAGTGATGACAGTTCATACGAAACAGGAAATAACAGTATGCTATTTATGTAAATGTAAAATATGTACATATAAAACATTCAATGAAAACATACACATTAAATGCAAAAATAAAGTGTTCACTAGTGGGGGGCATGGATGAAAAAATGAGGTTAAAGTGAAAATGCGAAGACCTCTATCTGGACTAATTACAATACACTAGAGAAAGTGAAGGCGTGAGGATGCTTTCCAGTCGTGAACATTTGCCTAGCGTACATGCATGAGGTCCTATATTTGATCTCCAGCATGGGTGAAGTAGGGGACAGATAGGAGTATGACTTAACTCAGGAGGAAAAACAAAAAACCTCAGTTTACGACAAAGAATGATGTCCTTCAGCAGATGCCAATCTAACAACTGTACTGGCTCCCTCCTCACCCCAGCCCTGTACACAAGAAAGGAACACATGCATTTACCACAAGCTAGGCACTATTAACTCATTTAATCTTCCTAGCCTGTGTTAAGATAAATGTTATTATACCCACTTACAGATGAGAAAACCATAAGGTTAAGTTCCCCAAGGTCACACAGGTGGTAATGCTTAAACTGGAACATGAAGTCAATCTAAGATACACTGAGAAACACGTGGAGATCAAGATCACCTAAAATATTATGGGACACCACTATGGACAGAGATAGCTGAGGAATTCTTAAGGGTGCCCTTTTTCTCAGCAATGTACTAGGATAATCATTCACTGCCTTCATCACTACAAGGGAGACTGGTAGTATCTGATAGCTAGAGGGTTACATCAAGGCATGACTAGAACCCAGTGGAATATGGGAACATATTTATATGCAGGCACACAGGCCAGTTATACCCCAACCTCACACCTTAACCTGATAGACATCTATACTAGTGATGGTGAACTTAGGGCACACATGCAGCAGCAAGCTATTTCTGTCACTGAAACCTTGAAAAGGTGTACCATCACTATCTATATCCTCAAAGATTTGTTAAAGAATGTATCATCAGCCCAAGAGGAAAAAACCTAAAAAAAATGTACAAGTGTGCTCCAATAAATTGCACCCAGCAAGCTCAATGTCAAAAGTCCTCAGTTTACAAATGTGTTCATACTCTATTCCTATAATCATAAGCACAGAGCCAAAAATATCAAGCCATTTGGGAAAAGCTCCTGACAAGGTTTGAAGTAGGGATGAAAAAAAAAAAAAAACCCAGACAACATAATGAAAGGGAGAAAAACACTTCACAGAAAGAAAAATTTATGTTTTTAGACTTTATTATAAAGCAACAGTAGTTAAGGATAGACATTATTGAGCAATTATTTTTTAAAGTACAGTAACAGACCCAGGTATAAGGTTCCTACTAAGACATGGAGATCAACTTAATGAAGTAGTATTTACTCAACAAAAATTGCTGGTACAGATGTATACCTGTAATTGAAAAGATGAACTTTTAATTCCTTACATCATAAAGAATCAGTTCAAAATGCCAGGCATGATAGTGCATGCCTGTAATTCCAGCACCTGGGATGGGCTGCCATGAGTCTGAGGCTAGCCTGAGCTACATGGCGAGTTCAAGTCCAGCCTTACCTACACAGCAAGACCCTTTCTCAAAAAGCAAACAAATCCTAGAAAAAATTCATTTAAAATGATTTAGACAAGTCAGGTATGGTGGCACACACCTACAAATCTAGTACTCTAGAATCCCAAATGTGTATTCAACCTGGGCAATTTAGTGGCTTTGCGAGCCACTAACAAAACAATAAAAAGGGGCTAGAGAAAAGCAGCTCAGTAAGAAGGCCCTAGGTAGAGCCCTAATACGAAGTTAAAACAGTAAAATTTCCAGAAAAATCTCCATGTCATGAAGTAAGCCACCTTGACAGATCACAGAGGACAAGAACTACTGAAATTTTCTTAGATTTTAAAAAGAAAAAACAAGTAGGACATTCTAGATTTATAACACTTACAACTGACAACTTGTATCCATCCAGAATATGTGAAGAATTTCTACATTTAAAGAGCAGGGAGGGCGCTGGGGATTTAGCTCAGCGGCGTAAGCGCCTGCCTTGCAAACAGGCAGTTGTGAGTTCGATCCCCAGTACCGATAAAAAGGAAAAAGACAAAAATAAATAAAAACCAGGCAAACCCAATTTTTAAAATACAAAGAATGACTTTACAAAAGATATACAAATAGCTCAGCAAGTACGAGAAATTTTCTAAGTAAAATGCAATGTGAGACAAGAGGCTAGAATAAAGAGGACAATTCAAGAAGTAGAACATGAAATCTGGAGTTTTAAGGTAACAATATTAATTCTTTCAGTTTTGAAGAAGGTGTCAGTCATGTAAGGTCCTACTAAAACTTAGGAGAACTTGGGAGAAGCACATAAGGAAACACTATCTTTACTTCTGAAATTCAAAATCATCTGAAAATAGCTTACTTTTTTAAAAGTATCACAATAAATGTTGGAAAGGCTGCTGTAAGGCAACTGGAATGCTCAAACTGCTAACGAGAGGGAAAATGACTCAAGGACATTGAGTAACTCAAAACTTCTTAAAAACTAAACAGCTCATTAATTTCTCCAAAATATATGCCCAACTTATACAATACTCATTGCAGTTTTAATAGTCCAAATTAAGCACCCCAGCTATTAGAAAAGTGGTGCATTTCAAGCAATTTTATTCAGCAATATATATGAACTACCAATGTATGCAAACTACATGGATGAATCTCAAAAATCAGCTGAAAGCAGCTAGACCAAGTACATTGAATACATGGTTTCTTTTTTTATATGAGAAACCCAATATTTAAGAAGTACAAAATATGAAGAAAATAGCAAGACCAGGGCCAGGGATTTAGCTCAGCAGTATAAGTGCCTGCAAGATTAAGAGTTTGATCCCTGATACAAAAAAAAAATGGATCTCTGGCACAAGGGAACCAAAAAGATGACAAGGGGGAGGAAGAAGGCACAGAGAATGTGTGGGGACTCCGAAGTGTTGGAACATGTACACAAGTTCCTTTCAGGAATGTGATCATGTACCACAAACCTAATACATACAAAAAACAGAAACAAAAAAAAAAAAAAAAAAACATGGGTCTAACATATGCAGAGGGGAAAGGGTTAAAATTTAAAAAACACATGTACATTTATCAACTGCCTGATACCAATCATGTACTACAGGTATGTACCAACAAATTTTTTTTGAAGTGTAAAACTGTCCAACAATACAAACCAAGTCAGTATTGCTTCCCTGGGGTTGGGAATGGATGGGGAATGACCAAGAAAGTGCACCCAGGACTCTTCTGTAAGAGTACTTGTATCCAGACACAAGCCTTTACAAAGATTGATCATACTATAAAATTAAGATCCAACCACTACAGTAATTGCACATATACAATGCCATTTTTCCCCCAAATGTGCTGCTCATTACTCCTCAAAGAAATACAGATTAAACCACACAGCATCCACCAAAATGGCTAACCTGCCAGTTATGAGATAACCTGAACTACTTGGTAAATTACTTTGGGTAAAACGATCACAATTTCCTGTAAATCTCTCCCTTGATCAAACAGTTCCACTCATTTTTATGTACACATGCAAACTGTTAAGAACTCACATTGCACCTTTTTAATAGCCCAAACTAGAAAAAGCCCAGGTTCCCATCATTAAGAGTATTGAAGAGTATCATTAAATACTCATCAATAAGGAACCAAATATATCCGTATGTGTATTTCAAGTTTCTCTTGAACTTGAAGCAGTGCACACCCCTTATAATCCTAGCACTCTACGAGGCAAAGGCAAAACTTAATGGATATCTACTCTCAAAATTTCTTTAGAATGGGTTGGGGTGCTTAGTTCAATGCAAATACCCTTTGTTTTATGCTCAGTACCAAAGTTAGTTAAAAAAAATAAAACTCTTTAAAAAAAGGCTTTAGGCTGGGCAAGGTGATACATGTCTGCAATCCCAGCATTCAGGAGGCTGAGGCAGGAGGATCACTTTTAGAAGCTTATCCTGAACAGGTAAAGTACACCTATGGAAATTAGGGTGAAGGCAGAAATTGTCAGGGAAGGGCTGGCCACAAGGCAACTTTTGGGAAGAGTAACATTGCCATTTTATATAGATTACATGTATTTATTTAAGTTTACCTTAAAACTTTAGTAGTGCAAACCTGTTATCCCAGCCTGTGAGGCTGAGACGAGGATCACCAAGTTTGAGGCCAGCCAGCTACATAGTTCATGAGACCCAATCTCAACAACAACAACAAAAAAAACAGAAAAACTCCCTATTAATAACAAGAATTGATAGAGTAGATCTAAAAAGCGGCACACCTGCAAACCTAGCACCTTGGCGGCAGAAGTATAAGGATTAAAAGTTTGAGGGCAGCCTGAGATACATGGTGATCATCTCAAACACAAACCAAAAGAGAATCGATGGAATAGATGGGTTATTTTTCTGGAATATGCAGCTGAGGCTATTAACAACACTCCTTGAAACTGTCATCTCAGTGATTAACTATTTCTTTTCCACTGACTTTCATTTAACTGGTTTTATAACCATTAACACATATGGTTCTTGGTGCGAAAAAACCAACCTACCCTGCAAACTGCCAACAAAAGGCTTTGGTCCAAAGTAGGATTCTCTATCATGTTCCTCTAAAATACAAGCAGAAAATGAGGTAAAAGCACTACAGAAGATTTCTTGGTATTAGCCTTTACTTTGTTCCCATCTAACTTATATTAAATGATACCAAATGTTACCAAAAGTTCACTTCCCAATAAAGGATGCAGGCTGCCACTGTGACTGGATATCACCTTACAACTTAATCGAGTGCCAGCACAGCATTAAACTAATGCTTGGGGGAGACTTGAGTATACCACTTAAAACCTAAAATAAAATTTTAATTTCAAAAAAGGTTTAAAAAAAAACACTGCCACAAAGGTGTTAAAAGTTTTATTAAATCTCAATACAAAAACATTCCAAAAAATAAAAAGTAATCTATGATACCTAAGAGTTGTATGTCAAACAAGGAAGACATTTTATCATTCCATTTTACAGCCAGTATAAAGCCAGATGAAGTAAGACCTATTGTTTCCTCAATGGGAGCAAAATTAAGTGTGCTAGGTCTGTAAACAGTCAAAAGGGGCCCAGTCATTTAAAAGTATACTCCTTTGAATTTAACAATCATACTACAATTAGTCTCTATACTACAATAACTTAGAAAACTAAATAAAATCTCAGCAGCCAAAAAAACTCACAGCACTAACAGTAACTCAAAACTGATCTCTATTCAAGTGCAACCTCTTTAATTTTGGTTAATATCCTCATGGTCAGTGATTAGGAATGTAAACCTATGAGGCTTGAGTTTTAGATTATTTTTGTCTATCACCAATGTTAATTAAATCATTAATAACTATATTACAGGGGAAGAAAACCTCAAAAATTGAGTTAGTTCCTCTAATTGAACAACTCCAATGTTCCTCTTGAGAACATTCTCATTTTTATTATTGGCTCTGGTCTCCCAAACAATTAAGATGTATTTCTAAGACTGAGAGTTGAGGATCAAGTAGGCTTACTGATAAAGTAGCCAATGTTTCCAGTTTCAAGCGTACTTTCCATCTTTTAGCAATGTTTCAAATTGTTAAATTTTGAGTTACTCCTCCCCCTGGATTTTGTTGTAGACTAAACCATTTTCCATGATAAGGTAATAAAAAATGTCTCACTTGTCTGAAAATCAGACACTACTGGATTAAGTAAAGAGTTACCACTTATGGCTGTCATTTTTCTGAAGCAACTTTTTTTCCGTGTGGTGTTGGGTGACTGAATCCAGGGCCTCACACATGTTAGTGAGTGCTCATCACCAGCCCTTAATTCTGATATTCAATGACAATGTCATCCAAATTGTACAGTTGCTTCCATTAGTTTAGCTAAACAAAATGAAAGCCAAAGCTATCAAATCTATACAAATAGCCACAAGAATTTCCTGAGTACCTCCACTTACCAATTTGTTTCCCTTTCTCCACTTGGGCAATTTTTAGCAACTACCACTCCCTAGAGTTAAGAGTGTTAATCAACACTGATGCCTTCCTCATAGTCACAAAAGCCCCTGAAGGCCAAACCTACTGCCTGTGCCAAACCAATTCTGATGGACACTGCTTATGCAACTGTTGTGCCTTATTGACAGTCAGCGTTCTTCTGCTTCAACAACTCTGTAAAAAAGCATGGGATCAAGTTACAGGATATTTGTTTTATACAGCAAAGCACTCCACTCCCCCCATTCTTACATACTTGCTAGTTTCAGTTGCACCAGAAAGTATTTGCTTTAAGTGTAAGCTTTAAAAACTAGCCATACACATCATTACTGTAAACATAGTTCTGTAGTACTGAAATGATGCTACTTGTCACCATTATGCCAATAAAATTGGGTTTCTCAAACTGAATTGCAATAGCTGTATCAGTAACTCAATTCAGTTTGTATCTTGGCTGTGTTGATGGGCAAGCACTGAGAAAAATGCCCAGAAGCAAGCTTGAACCTCATACAAGTTTCCTCACAAACTAAAGCATCATCTCCAGCTCATCAGAGAACACTTGCATGTGAAGAGACATTAGCAACTTTGTAAGAAACAGTTAATAATGACTGGTGCATTACTGGAATTGTAACTTCATTATACTCAGATGTGCCAGCTTTATTATACAAACAACTGTATTGCCATTTCCAACAGCTAAATATTAAGACCTCTTTGGCATATATAAGAGCAAAAAAACTTGCCAACACAACTAGATTGACAAAGCTATTATAGTTTTTTAAATCTTTGAAGGCTATTTTCAAAACTTACCTTAGCATTTTGATTTCTCCTGATGCCAGCTTTATCTACTGTGAATAAATCAGCACTCCATGACCACAATGACCATAGTTCTCAACCTGCAAAAATTAAATAGATAAAAACCAGTTACCTGTCTTAGGCAAATGCTCTAAAATGTGCCTATAACTGCCCTCTTTTCCAGAAAGAAAAGGCAAGTTCAGCCTTGCAGTTTAATGTGTTTCATGTTCTACTATTTCTCTTAAGTGGTGGAAGATTCACTGGCTTGGGATGGACTGGAATGGCTTAAATGGTTAAGTTGCATGGCTTATGGATTCTCATTCTGTTCCAATGGTGCACTGCCACGTTAAATCCATAAGTTGAACGGACAAAACCTTATTTGAAGGAATAAGTGCAGTATAAGGATTTTTAGTTGGAGGTCTTCAAGTTTATTCTATTCAAGAGGATCTTTTTTTTCAACTTCATGGCTGGACCTGGGTCATGCTGCCTCAGGTTTTGCTTTTTAAAGACCACTTGCAATAGATTTTCTCCATACAGTGTAGTTTCATAGAACTAAAAAACAAGTCAGGCATCCAACTAAAGGTCAGGGTTGCAATGGCTTATGGGGTAAGAGAGGAGACCCCAAACGTAAGCCATTTCTTACATTTGGCTAAAAGACTAATTTGAAAAAAATGTCAAAACATGAAGCATGTTTAAAGGTCTTCATCAAAAATATCTTTAAAAATACCCCCTCCCAAGCCCCAGACTGATACTGGTACACAGCTGTATTAAGGCCTTTAAGTGTCATACATGCTTTAAAAAAAATCCAAGTGTTGAATTTGGAGGACTTCTAATATGCTAGTTAACATTTGCTTTTCCAAAACGTTTTTTTTTTAAATCTAGAGGCATTTCCATTGCCATGAGGTACAGTGTTTCACTGTACTATGAGGAAGGTTAAGTGTTCAATTTCGACTTAGACGGAAAAACTAGTTTGCTTTGCTTACCATCTTTGCTGTTTCACAGGCATTGGATGCTTTAAATCTGATGTGGAATGCTGATAGATTCACTTTTTAGAAGTCATAAGCCTTTAGGAAGTTGGAGATAACTTCATTGCTTATCTATTTCTCCTTTGCAATCAAGCTGTTCCTTTAAAAGTGAGACACTACAGAGTTGCAAAAATTTGAAACAGTAAGAGCAAGCATCGTTTGCAGCTTCATGGTTGGTTTTGGCCAAACTTTTTATTTAGTATTCTGTAGTTGTTTAACACACACTTAAATGGTCTTACTGGGGGAGGGGAAAGGGGAGGTTCTTGCAGATTCCCAAGGAAATGTCAAAAAGGCAAATTATGGCCAGCATTATCCATTTGTCTTTTTGGGTTTAATGGGTGAATAGCACTTTCCTTACATAGGTATCTGATCTCAGGTTTTTTCATACTGAGAACATGGAGATTGCAGTTGGAAGACACCCTGAAATCCTAAGAGTAGCATACCCCGACCACCCTCTAATAGCTAGCTTGTCTGTACAGGCAGAATAGTTCATCTCCAAATGGAGATCAATGTACATCTAGATGGCTAGATGTTTGTGGAAGATCTCAGAATTGCTTGCCTTATTCATTGGGAAAAATTAGGAAGTGGCCTTTAGGGACACTTTTACTTGAAAAATTACAACACTAGTACAACAAGTCAAGCCTTACACACTTAAACATTTGCTTGTTGAGAGCAATTCTTAAAATCAAATAAAATTAAACATGTTTTACTTTTTTCTCCTCACAAGAACATAAAAATTATGAAGGGGAACTTAACAGGAAATTTAAAAAAGGTAACACAATTTTCCTTTTAGTAGTCCTTGGGTAGTTATGACAGAACAGTTTCCACTTTTTGTTTGTTTCTTTGAACGGGGATTTTGGTCCAAAGTTTTGTTTGTTTCTAGTATCTGCTTCTGCCTCCCCCTCTATCAGATCGGCTTCCTCCACGGCCACCACCTCTTGGTGCTCCGCGGCTTGAACTGCTGTAGGAATCACGTGGAGGAGGGTACCCCCTTTCCATAGAAGGGGGAAGCCCTCGTTCTTGTCTGCCAACCCGATCACGACCACTTGAGTAGAGATCACTTCGGCTGCTTGAGTAACTGTCTCGACTTCCACCATATCCGTCCCGTGAGCTGCTGTAATCATCATAGCGACTGCTTCCACCATAAGATGGCGGGGGCCCTCGTGTAGGTGGAGCACTACGTGAGTTACCTGCAGGGTCAATGGTCAGGTAATATGGCAACACTATAAATTGGATATATACAACATTTAAATCTGAATTTACAGAATTTTTGTATTAAAAGTTTACTTTCTCAACTGGGAGGTTTTAAACTACCATTGCTGGCCATAACAGGGATTTGCTCATCTGCTGAGATACGGAAATGGATTGATTTTAATGTTTGTTTTGAAAAGACTGAAGACGGTGTGTATTTCAAGAGGATATTCCAGACAGCTTGTTATTTTATAGTAGACACTCAGCCACTTTCCAGTGATAAGTTGCAATTTTGAACTGTAGAGTTTCCTTCATATTACAATGGTAAACATTTGATCTTGTTAATAAAATTTTTAAATTGTATTTTCACTGTTGGGGGAAAACACATAAGGCTGCCAATTTAAAGCAAGCAAAATCCCCTCCAAAGCAAGCAAACAGCCTCAAAAGGAAAAAAAACCCAAAAAACAAAACTTAAGAGAAACAAAAGCCCCTCACAAAACTAGGAAAAGCCCAGCTGATAGTTATCCCTTTAAAAGCAAGCAAACATCCCCTTAAAAGCAAGCACCACGCAGCCTATTAAACTGGCTTATGAACCTAAAAACTCAAGCTGGTGATATTTAAGAGCCTTAACCAGTATCTTACCATAACTCTCATATGAATCTCTGTAGGAACCTCCACTCGGATGATCTGAATAGTCACGATCCCGACCATATCCATCTCTATCACTAAATCAATCAAAGAGAAATTCTTTAAGTTCCAGAACATCAATCTTTCACAGCAAATCTTCATCAAGCCATGGAAGCAAAGTCACCTACCTATATCCTCTTGATGGATAGTCATCACGTGAACTGGAATGACCATAATCACGGTATGTATAATCTCTTGGTGGTGGGGCATAATCTCTTGTATCACGAGAACTTGGGTAATCTCTGCTTGAATAGCTAGAGAAACAAAAGTAATTTGATGTATGCTTTTTGTGCTGAGCTCTCCTTAAGGCTTAACCATTAATGAAAAAAAGCTAGTTTTGTTACCTATCTTTAGTCGAATATCCATCATCTCTTGGAGACAAATAAACATCTCTACGAGAGGGCAGGGGTTCCCTTCGAGGTGGACCTCCGTAACTATCTCTTCCACGAGATACAGGGGCTTAAAGAAAAATCATTTTTATAAGCTTTGCTAAAGTAGCAATCTAAAACATACATTCAGGCTATGAAGAACAGTAACTTTAAAAAAAAATGGTTAATGTGAGGGAGGGTGGAGGGAGGAGGGGACTTAAACAGAAACAAATTGTGTTATGTACATATAACTCACTCTCCAAGGTGACCATAAACTGCATATACTAGCAAAAGTTTTTAAATTTTAAAAAAAATAGTCAAATGTAGTTGATCAGATCAAGTATTCACTTCTCTAGAATTGCCCATTTGAATCTTTTCAGTGCTCATTAATAAGTTGTATTAGATCACCTGAAATCCAGTTATTTGGAGTCACTTCTCAGTTCCTTCTGTTAGTAACAGATCTAAGATTTACCTCTTCCTCCCATTCCACTGCTGCTGCGAACTGGTCCTGATGGTGCCGATCTTTTAGGAGGAGGACCCCCACTTCGTGGTGGTGGTCCTCTTTTCACTGGAAGGGGTCCTCTGGAAGAACTCATGTTAAAATTCATGGAATAGCCACCATCATCTACATTGGAATAGAACAAAATTCAATGTTAATAATCACAAGCATCGGGAAAAAACATCTTTTTTAATTAGCTGGGGCACGTAGCTTTAGTTTTCTATCATAGAGGCTGAGGATTTAGCTCAGCTGAAGAATGCTTGCCCAGGTTTCCTGAGGCCCTAGATTCAATCCCCAGCACAAAGTTTTCAACTGCATAAGCACGAAGTCATGTAGACCAGGAAAATATAAATGAAAGGTGTTTTTTAAGTTACCTCAAAGTAAATACTACTTTATTATGCACAATACCTATCAAAAAGCATTTTCGGAGTATTTTCCCTACAGAATAAAACTACTGCATGCACCATCACTTGACTATAGTTTAATTTAGGATGCCCTCCATGTTTTCCTTTGAAGAGCTAATCACTTCAATATGTAAGCAAGTGTTCACGACTGAAGGCTATAAGCTTTGCCTTTTAACAAGGACTTAATCAAAAAGGTGTAGGTTTGCAGCAGAAGATCCACCCGAATCATTACCCATGTGCCCTCCATGTGAGGGAGGTCCCCTAGTTCCTCCACTTCCTCCTCTTCCTCCTCTAAGACCTCTGGGAGGGCCTCTGCTTCTCGGAGGTGGAGGTGGTCCTCGTCTACCACTTTCAAATGATGGTTTGGTGGCTTGTTCCACCTTGATGGCTTTTCCATCTAAGGACTTTAAACAGAAAAAAAAGATAAAAATGGTTACATTAAGCTGGGCATGGCAACACATGCCTGCCATTAATCCTAGCACTCTGGGAGGCTGAGGAAAGAGTATTTTACAAGTTTGAGTGAGCCCAGCCTGGGCAACTTAGTATAACTCTCAAGAATTGAGAACAAAAAAGGCTGGAGATGAAGCTTATGTGAAGGTCTTAGGGTCAATTCTCAGTACCAAATAAGGTACATAAACTACATTGAGATTTAAGAATTTGCAGATCCAGCATTCATCATAAATAGCATCAATAAATAGGTCCTTTAAAATAGTTCATTAAATTTTACTCACTACTCAAGGAAAAATGCTAGAAATAGTATCTCTATAAATGAGACTTTTCCATAAACAGAGTGGTGGTGTAGGCCTCTAATCCCAGCACTTGAGTGGCTGAGGCAGGAAGCCTGCTATGTGCATAGCTGAGACCTTTCCTCAAAGACCAAAAAAGCAAAACAAAAACAAAACAAACAAAAAAAACGGGCGTGGTGGTGCATGCCTGTATTCCCAGCACTCAGGACGCTGAGGCAGGAGGGTCACTGCAATTTCAAGACTAGCCTGGGCTACACAATGAGCTCAAGGCCAGCCTGAACTACATAGTGAGACGTGTTTCAAAAAAACAAAACAAACAAAAAACTTTCCCACATTAAATTTCTGTTTTTATTAAAGATAAACTAAAAACAAAGTGAACCCACTGCACTACTGTTCAGTAATATTTAAAACAATCCAAGGTGTCAGCTTATTATCAAAATAAAAGTTAAAAGATAGCTTATATACGGACCCCATCATAAAATACACTATGGTATATCATATAGAATTATATAACCCATAACTGTAGCTACAAAATTTGGGTTTGGAATTCAAACAACACACTTCAGATTCGTATCACACTCCTATGTTCAGCAACAAGTATACGCTCAAAAAGCAAAAATTCCACAAGAGTTTGCCTGAGCCACACTTGGATTCATGCTGCTTCATGCAGTAGGAAACATGCTGTCAATCACTGAGCGGGAGCCTCACCTTTCCATTCATGTCTCTAGCTGCATCCTTCGCATCCGCTGGACTTTCGAAGGTAACAAAAGCAAATCCTCTTGATTTATTGGTTTCTCGATCTTTCATCAAGAGTACTGAGAAATAGTTAAAGAAAGTGTTACCACATTTCAAATGAGACAATGAAATTAAATCTTGTAACGTGAAAGCTCAGAACTTCTTAGAGGACAAAAATACATTATCATGTCAGATTATCAATTCAATCAAATTCATCACAGCTTTCTTTTAATTACAATAATCAGGCACATACTTTCAGGTAACTCACCTTCCACTATCCGTCCATATTTTCCAAATACTGCTTCTAGGGCTTTCTCATTTGTTTCGGTATTAAGCCCACCAATAAAGAGCTTTCCTGGGCGATCTGCTTCAACCATTTTTCCCTCTGATGAATCCGCTGAAAAAAAAATAAGCTAGTAGTATTATCCCCTTGGAGAAAGTTCCCTAAATTTAATGGGCATCTTACTGTGATGTTTCCTTCGTCCTGTTTGACTTAAAACTTCATCTTTAAATAAGTAAAACCACCGATAAGCCTCAAATGCAGGAGACCAATTTAAACCAAGTAGCATATTTACAACGTACTTTACATTAAATTGGTCAAAACATTCAATCTAATTTTGCACATTAACCTTAACCCCTTGACTGTTTTTCATCAATTCACAGCTACTCAACGTTTGAAAAGGCCAATTTTAGTTTTAATCGTCCATCTGTTGCCTTTTAGGGATTCAATTACTTAGCGCATACACCCCTCGGCGCGCGTGTGGCGACGGTTAGTTGATGGTTTTGACTACACTCATTCAAGGTCGCTGGGCAGACGCACGACCTTAACACACATCGAAAGCTTTCTTCCAAATTTAGGGAACTTGCCCTTCCTCTCATCAGGATTTCCCGGCAAGTCTAAGCAGTAGAAATCGTAAAATTCGAGCCAAGTTATGCTTCATCTTCACTAGCCCCTCATCTCCTGCACGCCCAAAAAGATAACTTTCCTCGCTAAAAAAATAAACACAAGCGCCAACATCGTTTGAAATTAAATAACGCAACGTCGGCACGCACAAAGTAACACGCATCTCTCCGAGACTGCGGCGGAACCCAATTAAGACTCGTCACTAAGGACCGCGTGTAAGACAAAATGGCGACACTTGGATTCAGCCCAGAACCACAGACACCAGTGAAGCAATTAACTTTACCAGCAACGCGGGCTGGGAAATTCAACGGGCTTCCTCTGCAGGGCCGCTTGCGAACAAGGAAGGAGGTCGCGTACCACTCCTCGCGGCCGCAACCGCGGCCACGGCCAGCGTCACACCAAGAGATGCAGGTATCGCGGTGGCGCGGTCGCTCCTCGCCCCGCTCCTGCCCACAAAAGCCTACTCTCCGCCCCCGCAGGGGACAGCCAAACTTCCTGGCGCGGGATGCGACGGAACGGCACCCACCCCGTGCGTTCCCCTTCAACCCCTCTGGACTTACTACCTAGGTCCGCACCTTACGGTGTCTTAAAATGGCGCCCGCCACCCTCATTCTCCACAAATAATACCAAATTCGAAGGCGGCGAGTGTCTGAGTAAAATAAGGAAACACGTACCGGAAGGGTGATGACGGTCTCAAGCTCCTCCGAGCTCGCTGACAGGGGCTGACCACGCAGCCCGGCACAAGTGACAGCTAACCGGGTTCAGGAACACAACTGAGAAGCCGCTAGCAGTACTGCGCAACGAGGGCGAACAAAGGAGACAGCAAACTTTATACTACCCGGGAACGAGGCTGAAGGACCCGGATGAAAACGAAGCTTAGAATTTGAAACGTGAAGGGAGGGGGGAGCGGCTCTCAGCCTTCTCATTGGCCATCTCCTACGTCATTCTTCCTTCGCCCCTCCTTTTTCCCCAGGCCCTGAGCGTTCTGGCCGGCCCCCTATTCTAACCGTTTTCCCTACCCCCACCCATTCTCTTCTAAGGCGCGTTTTTGCTTTGTGCTAAAATAGTGCATAGGCTTCATTTAATAAAGAAGTGAAATTTATTGCCCGTCCTCGTGAGCCGGGAAGGGTGCAAAACTTTGTTTTCCATTAACTTTTAATTCAAAAACCAACATGGTAAGAGTAGATACTTAAATGGCAATTTTGCAGAAAGGGAAAACAAAGAAGTTTAGGTAATACAGTGTATTTGCCAAAATGATCTTGAACAAAAATTTTCAATGAGAAGTATCATGATAAACGGCAGGTGAGAAAAAAACCTTAAGCAGCAGGCAGATCATTCATTCAAAAAAAAAATTACAAGCACCTACAAAATACCACGCTCTGGGTAAGGCCTGAGGGTAGACCCAGAACTAGTATGACAAGGACCAGCCGTCTGGAGAGTAAAGCTGCTAGATTTAAGTAAATAGAATTCCAGGAAGTTAAGATTGACTGTTAGATAAGGAGTGCTTTGTTGTTTTTTTTTTTTTTTTAAACTATATGCCCCAAGTAGTATATACAAAGAATTAGTTATTGTTTATATGAAATTCAAATTTAATGGGGCTTTCTGTATTTTATCTGCCCATGTTACTAAAGGAGAAAAATAACAAATATTTTAAATTTCTTTAAAAATTAACGAAGCCAGGCGTGGTTTGCATGCCTTGTAATCCCAGCACTCTGGAGGCTGAAGTAGGAGGATCTCCACAGTCTGAGGCCAGCCTGGGCTATCTAGTGAGTTCAAGGCCGGTCAGAACTACACAGCGAGACCCTATCTCAAAAAAAGTAAAAATTAACATAATATAGTTAACAAACAATTGCAGATTGTGATTAGTAACAGGAAGGACTTCAAGTGACCAAATTTGGTTAAGACATCAGGGCAAGTCTATCTGAAGAGGTGAATTTAGAAGTCAGAGCTGATACAGAGAAAAAACGATGAAGAGCTGAGGGAAAAGCCTTTCAGGAAATTAAAATTTAAAAAAACTAACCTCAAAAAGAAGGGAAGAGCTTGACATGTATAGAGGAATGGAAAAAACACCAAAATATAGAAATTTAAAGAAAATTAAATGAAGGAGCCAAGGTAGGCCTGGGCTGTGAGCCCATTGAAATATTACAGAAGATAAGTGCCAGAAGCAGAGACACCAAGCACAGGAGAAAAATGGAGAAGACTGTGGTTTGAGTTAAGGTGGTGGCATTGACCTTGGAGAGGAGGAAACAACTGCTAAATGAATAAGCAGGTAGTGAGGACAGGATTTGCTAAGGAATCAGATAGTGTTATAGTGATGTAAATATTTGTGTTCTTTCACTCCTTTGTTGAAATCCTCTTCCCCAAGGTGATGGTATTAGGAAGTGGAGTCGTGGGGGAACTTATAAAAGTATCCCATTCCCTAATGTAGGGAAAAGACAAAAAAAAAAAAAAAAAGAAAGAAATCATCTATGAACCAGGAAACTGGGTAGTGGACTCTTACCAGACACTGAATCTGCCAGTACTTTGATCTTGGACTTCCCAGTCTCCAGAACCGTGTGATATAATTTTTTGCTTCTTAGTAAACTACTCAGGTTTTAGGTATTTCATTACAGCTGGCTGAAGGGACTAAGCAGATGGGGCTACAATGGTAGGAAGCAGGGGAAATCATGCTTCCTCATGTCTTTTGAGTATCTGGAATTAGTAGGACAAGTGATGACCATTTACCCAAATAGTTACAGGAGAACAAGTTTGGTATGCAGATGGGGCAGAGAAATATGATGCTTGGAGTAAGGATCTATGCTTAATTGTCATCCTAGGAATTGGAAGTCATCACAATGATTGAAACCACCAAAGAATAGTAGAGTATGAAGCAAAAAGAAGGCCATAGGTCACATAAGATAAACCATTAAAATACTTACATGGAGAAAAATAACTGGTAGGAAATAGGATAAAATGTATTAGTCTATCTTGGAGTGAATAGTAGAATTTATGAACAAGGACCATGTTTCAAATTCTTCCTAGTTAAAATTACCTGGCTCTGACAAATTATGGTATGTGCCAGCAAGTAGCAGTGAATAATACTTAGGTCCTTCATAAAGGCTCCTAAGTTACTTTGGCACTAGCTCCAAATTATTAACATTAATGGGGGGAATAAAGGCTCAGCAAGACAAAAGTATTTGTACTTATTTTTTCTCCAGCCAAATAACAACATATAAAGCAAAAGTCACATCTATCTGTTGCAGAATGAGTTGCATAAATCATTTACACTGGCAGTGGATGGAAACTCGCCTGGATGGCAAAAATTACTTAAAGGCTCAACAAGCAGAAGCTGCACCCACAGTGGAAGCCAGGAGAATTCTTTCACCCCGCAGGGGAAGTAGATACTTTTCTTCTCTGTCTTAAATCCAGACTCAAAGACTGCTGGGCCCTCTCTAGGCTATAAGACTAAAATGTATCTTTTCCAGTCTAGGGTAGGACAGAGCAGGCTCCAAAATAGATGTTTCTATCCCTTTAAGTCTCAAGAGAAAAATTCAAGCCCAGTTGTGGTGGTGCCCACCTGTAATCCCAGCATCCGGGAAACTGAGGCAGGAGGATCCCAGTGGGTTTGAAACCAGCCTATGTTATGTAGTGAGGTCAAGGACAGCTTGGACTACATAGCTAGACCTTGTCTCAAAAACAAAAACAAAAAGGAAAATTCAGACTGGAGATGTAGCTCAGTGGTAGAGTTTGTCTAATATGCTATGGCCATGAACTCCAGCCCCAGTATAGAAGGCAATGTGCCTTTGATAACTGATCAGGATAGGGAGGGAAAGACTAGTGATGTGGATAAGTAGGGGAACAACAAATTAGCTCCTCCAAATTTCAGGAAGGGTGGCTGGTTGGAGAATTGTGAGACAGTTAAGTCACTTTCCTTGTTTCTAAGACAAAATACCTGATATCTGCCACTTAAAGGAGAAGGGGCTTATGCTCCCATAATCCAGTGACCTTCCAAAAGTCCCACTTTTGAGCACTTGAGGCTTTCGGAGGACATCCAGGTTTAAACCACAACAGGGACAGAGGAAAAAATAGACGAAGTTGCAGAGGAAGAAGACTCTACTGACTAAATCCAAAGAGCAATAGGGAGAGGTGCCAGTTTAAGATGTGGAGCAAGATAACTGGATATCATCTTTCAGTTGTTAGGGCTGAAGTCTGGAGACTGTATCGAGGAGAGAGGGATAAGAAGCAAAGAAACTGAATCAGAGTGTGACACTGATATGATCTAGGAGAAAAGGGACGTATGCTGAGTGGGTGGGACTCTGGCCATAGGCAGTTAGATAAACACAGTCACTATTCTGATCTCCACCCTTCCTTCTCATGGATATTTGCCCTTTGCCTGTTTCTTTCCTACCCATTTCTTTGCTTTGTCATTAAATGTAGGTTGGTATTTTTTGGCCCATTGTGTCTAACTACCATATTAGTCATAAACATTAAGCAATGTAACTTCATCACTAGGTAATCTCAGACTATAATAAGTGCTAAATAGATGTTGTTTAAACCAGGCATAGTGGCACATGTCTGTAATCCCAGCACTCTGGGAGGCTGATGCAAGAGAATTTCAACTTCAAGATCAGTTTGGGCAATTTAGAAAGACTCTCTCAAAATACAAGAATGTTTAAAAGGGCTGAGGATGGGACACAACATAAGGCACTGTGCTCAATCTCCAGTACTACCAACAGGAAAATTAATTAATTAATTAATTTAAAAAACCAAAGCCAGGTGTGGTGGTGCACACCTTAATTCCAGCATTCAGAGGGGCTGGAGATTTAGCTCAGCGGCATAAGCGCCTCGCCTGCCTTGCAAGCAGGCAGTCGTGAGTTCGATCTCTGGTACCGATAAAAATGAAAAAGACAAAAAAAAATTCCAGCATTCAGGAAGCTGAGGCAGGAGGATCATTATAAATGCAAGATCAGCCTGGGCTACAAAATGAGCTAATGGCCAGCCTGAACTACATAGTGAGAATTTGCCTCAGAAAAGACCAAAAAAAGCCAGTCATCAAATTAGGCATCACAATGAGGTGAGTAAATTTAAACTCTCCTGTCAGACTTGTATTTTTACGTGAAGGGCAAATGTAACTTTATTCTGCAGTTATGTCTCTTTTCCAAAGTATAGAAAGATAACCCTGTCATGTACCATGTAAAAAAAACTATTATCTTGTATGAAGCAAAAAGATGGAAGGGAGGAAAGAAATCTATGTGATTAGAAATTGGGAAACTTTCCAAACCACTTTAGCCATTGTCCAAAAGATAGCCTGCTTGCAACAAGCAAGGAATAAAATCTGTGGCTCTGCTACAGTATCTGTATTAGAACTGGCTGCCTCCACAATGAAGGAGTTTTAATGAAACAATACTGGATTTAAAAAATAAAGTATGCCTCAAGAAACATTTTTTTTTGTCTTTTTCCTTTTTGTCGGTACCGGGGATCTTTGTCACGACTGCCTGCTTGCAAGGCAGGCGCTTATGCTGCTGAGCTAAACCTCCAGCTCCCTCAAGAAACATTTTGAGAAGTGAGAGATGATGAATTTTTTAGTAAATTGTGTTGAGGTAACTAGAGAGCTATTCAATGGAAAAGAAACCTGGATCCATACTACATTTTTTATTCCAAAATGAATTTCAACTCAAACATTTAGATGTAAATAGTAAAATTACCAGGCAAGCATTATGGCTCATGCCTGTAATCATAGCACTCTGGGTCAGGGAGGCTAAAGCAAGAGGTTCATAAATTCAAACCCAGACTGGACAAATCAGTGACTCAGCAAGACCTATATCAAAATATAACAAAGATCTGGGGATGTAACTCAGTGTGAAAGACCAAGGTTCAATTCCCCAGTACAAATAAATAGTGAA